TTCACTGGGAGGGTGGTGGAGCACTGGAACAGGTTGCCCAGGGAGGTGGTTGAGGCCCCATCCCTGGAGATATTCAAGGGGAGGCTCGACGAGGCCCTGGGCAACCTGGTCTAGTTGGGGGTGTCCCTGCTGACTGCGGGGGGTGGGACTAGATGGCCTTTGGAGGTCCCTTCCAGCCTGGGCAACTCTATGATTCTGTAATTCTGTGTGATTCTGTGATCTCTATGGTCCCTTCCAACTCTAAACATTCAGTGAAATTCAGTGAAATCCCTGATACAGGGCATCTGTGAGACCTCGGAGACACCCCCAGGGAGGAGCAGGGTCATGTTGTCTCCAGATGGCCAGAAGAAAAGCCCCGTGCCCCCCGAGCAGGTTGAGGAGAGATCAAACGAAGCTCGTTAAGCGCCCCGTGACTCCAACGAGTACAAGTCCTCGCCGGCCAGGCCGTGAGGAAAAGCATAAACCCCGCCATGTTTTCATGATGGGACACATCCGACCACATTTCCGCTGCCGGCGTTGATCAAAAGAGGCAGTTTCTCAATAGACACGCGATGAATCTCCGGCCCAGGCCGCACGTCGCGGCAAGAGGGGAAAAAGGGGGGGCAAAACCAGAGCTGAGGGTTCAGCAAAGGGGGGGAAATAAGGGGTAGGGGAGGCCCGAGACACAAAACCACCCGCACAGGATACACAGTCCCCCCCCCTCAAGGAAGAAACTAGAAATGAGGAACCCTCTGGTGAAATCTCTCAGCTTAAAATAACCCTTCGGCAAGAAATCTGGGAGGGCCTCAAAGCCACATCAAAGCCTGTCGAGGCCCAGGAAGGATCTGTCAGGATATCAGCAACAAATCACACAATTCTTTGGGGTGAAAGGGACATTAAAGACCATCCAGACCCTGGGATGGACACCTCCCACCACACCAGGTTGCTCCAAGCCCCCTCCAACCTGCCCTTGAACCCCTCCAGGGACGGGGCAGCCAGTTTCTTGGGGCAACCTGGGCCAGGCTCTCACCACCCTCAGGGGGAAGAATTTCCTCCCCACATCTCAGCTCCATCTCCTAATTTTTGGTTTCAAACTCTTCCTTCTTCTCCTGGGGCTCCCCTCCCCAAACACCAGCCCTGGAGGGATCTCAAAGCCGGTGCTGAGGGCCGTGGGGCAGTGGTGGGTTGGGCAGTGGTGGGTTGATGGTTGGGCTTGGTGAACTTCAAGGTCCCCTCCAACCCAGGGAAGTGGTGGAATGGCCAGGGCATCACAGGATGGTTTGGCTTGGAAGAGGCCTTCAAGATCATCCAGTTCCACCCCTTCTAGTGGCTGGGACATCTTCAAGGAGATCAGGTTGCTCCAAGCCCCCTCCAACCTGGCCTTGAACCCCTCCAGGGATGGGGC